GTACTAAGCGATCTAAAAAGTTCATATCAATAAGTTTTCTCTGTGCAGCACCAGGTGGCAGTCTTTGTACTTTCATTTCGAGGGTGCAGATTGCATACGTTTTATTAATATGTATAACTTTATTTATTTTATTAATAACTATAACTTTATATATATATATATATATATATATATATATATATATATATATATATATATATATATATATATATATATATATATATATATATATATATATATATATATATATATATATATAGTTTAAAAAATATTTACTCTTTTCCCAAGTGTATATAACTACTACTGTAAGAAAATATCAGAATTCGGAACACTTTCTGTATTATCTTTGCTTGAACTGACCTGATATAATCCTGTTTATATGAATTGAACCTGCTCCCGATCAGGTTTGACCTAGCAGAACTGTTGCTATGACAACAACTCTCGGATCAGCTTTGAAGAACGAAACGATCCTGGATCGTGTCAAATCGTCAATATCCAAATCCAGCTAACTGAGTAATCCACGTACAAAGAACGGACCCCAGGTTTGACCTAGCAGAACTGTTGCCATGACAACAACTCTCGGATCAGCTTTGAAGAACGAAACGATCCTGGATCGTGTCAAATCGTCAATATCCAAATCCAGCTAACTGAGTAATCCACGTACGAAGAACGGACCCCAGGTGTGGGGCTAATCAAAACTCAGGTGACGGTGACATGTGAGATTGAGGTGACTGTGATGATTGAGGAGAACCTGGCCTGTCTGTGACAGAGTGTGGGTTTGTTTGTTTTGTTTGTTTGTTTGTTTTTTTCTTTTTTTTTTCCCAGAAAGTAAAACTGCACAATTTGCTGTGAGGGTTGTGTTTAGGGATAGGGTTAACATAATTTTCCTATTTAAGCCTTTAAGTTGTACTGTTGTCATGGAAAAGACAAAGGTTAGTGGTATTATTAATAATTAGATGTTTTAAAATGAATTGAAAAAAATCTTTACTTTATTAATTAGCACGTGGGAATTATTTGGGCGTAAAAAATAAATTCAAACTAATTATCCTAAATGATTAAAAACTGTGACACATAAGAATGGAGTTAGTTACTGATAATTAAAAACTACCTATTAGACTCATTGGTATACTTGAGGTATAGCAAAAATTTCAGTCTTATGAAAGCAAATCAAATGAAGAAAACGATCAATCAGTAGATCGATCAATCAATCAATAGTCCACTATTATAGTGGGTCATTTTTCCAAAATAGACTACAAAATCTTTGTTCTTAGAAATACATGGTTGAATAAATCAATAAATAATATTTATTGACATACTAACATAAATTGACAGAATCTGTAAATCTTAGTATGGAAATATTTCCTCACATATGGAAGCGGAAACATTTGCAGTGTTTCTGAATGGATCTAGTGCCATCTAGTGGTGAACATTTTTACTGGGACGAGCAACTACTGAAAATATGAGCTGCAGAGCCATTTGGGCGAGCTGAGCTCCAGCGAGGGGAAGCTTGAGCTTGAGCTCCAACTTTTTTGCACTTCTTCTACGGGTGATGTCACTGGGGGTAGGGTTAGGGGTGGGGTTGGTGTACGCATTAAAACAGCTTACAGGAGGAGGAGCGAGAGCTAATGCTCCCCCTCGCTGGAGCTCAGCTCTGCTCAAATGGCTCTGCAGCGAGCACCATTTGGAAAATATAACTCAATCTTGATAACTCAACCTTGAATGATGAATCAATCAATTAAATAAATAAATTCATAAAAATTATATAACAAATTTATACATATATATATATATATATATATATATATATATATATATATATATATATATATATATATATATACATACATATATATATATATATATATATATATATATATATATATATATATTCATTTTCTTCTCGGCTTAGTCCCTTTATTTATCCAGGGTCGCCACAGCGGAATGAACCGCCAACTTATCCAGCACATTTTTACACAGTGGATGCCCTTCCAGCTGCAACCCATCTCTGAGAAATATATAATTATATATATATATATATATATATATATATATATATATATATATATATATATATATATATATATATATATATATATATTATAATATTATATTATATAACCATTTGGTTTAGAACTTTAATTTGCAGTTTTTCATTTTGAATTTAAAAATGAAATTGTGGCAAAAATCTGGCTAAATATAACAATATAATACTTGATGACATCATCAATCCAAGATGGCTAACACCAAAACCAACTGTCTACACATCTGCACTTCATTAAATGGTGGAGAGATTGCATTTCAAGTTTGATTTCTGTTTACTGCTATTGCATCTATTCAGTTTGGTATTTTTAAATTTGTCATGAAATGTTTTATATTACATTAAAACAGAAATGTAACAAATATATCAACATAAATAACTATTTAGGGTTTTCATGCAAAATAAAAAATGTCTTGCATGCTGTACAGAAATTATGTCCTGTTTTATTTCTTTGCATGGTGTCCAACCCATGTGGAGAGTTTGATCATTTTTAAATACAAATTCATTTTGCAAAACTGAAAATGCATTTCAATTTCACCATCATATTAAAGTACTTTTTTTTCTAAATAATGTTTTCCATAATTCATCCATGAAAGGGTTGAAATTGATAAAAATTAAATTATTATTTAAGGAGATGGCTTACATGATTCTGAGTTATGATTTTACTGTAATACTTCTATAACACTTTATTCTGTTGAACACAAATGAGGATATTGAAGAATGTTGGAAAAGGGTAACCATATAGCTTTGATCATCTGTAGAGAGAGATATATCAAGTTCTTGAAATACGTGACTGAAATTATATATTTTTTAAATGATGTATTTATATGATTATTATCATCATCATCATCATCATCATCATTATTATTTTTTTTATTATTATTATTTGTTTTTACCAAATGATGAATAAATTAAGTTACAATAAACTTTTTATTTTGTACATATTACATCAGTGAATAAATTTATATAAATGCATTTATATGCTGTTGTTAATAATTAAATTTAAGCTCAAAAAGGTTTACTGAATTTTTTTTAAATTTATTTATGTATTATCATTTTAATTTCTGAAATTAGTCGTCATCTTGGAATTATAAGGTTCTATCTGCATTCTAAATGATTTTGAGATATTGAGCTTTAAAGTTTTTGCATTCCATAGCAAACAGCTTATGTGTTACATTTGATTTTTTTAATTCAACTTATATAAAAAAAGTCCCATGACGTAAATAATTTGTCATTTAATAAGAATGTCAATAAATAAATTTTGACAAAAATGTCAGATAGAACCTAATTCTAAGGTGACGTAGTGTTCCATGGTGGGAGCTTTGATAAATGATGTCAGAATTAAATTTTTTTTTAGTAAACGATGCGAGTATTTTAACTTTTTCAAGAAACATCCAGTACCAGTTCACTTATCTGCTTTGAACACCAGGTGGCGCAGTAATGCAGGCAACAAAGCAGTCTCCTGCGATGGATGGAAAAAAAAACTGAAGACCCTCTGACCTGCTGAGAACATTATGTTAAAATCTAAATATATGTCTAGATAATAGCCTGTTAACATATATAGACCAAGTTTTGTTAGCTTCTTTATTTTAGATATTTAATTGCTAATAAATTACATTTGTTCTCTCAGTTTAAGTTTTGATTAACGTCAACTTGATAGGCTATTCAATTATTTTTGGAACTTCTGTTTGGACGCCTTATCTTCCTGTTATCGTAATTTACAAATGCACTATATGCCTGTAATTTTTATTTTTTGGAAAGAAAGAAAGAAAGAAAGAAAGAAAGTAAGAAAGAAAGAAAGAAAGAAAGAAAGAAAGAAAGAAAGAAAGAAAGAAAGAAAGATTGGTTTATCATCAATTGGTTAAGAAAGCAGAAAATCGTTCATGATTAGATTTATAAACATTATAATGATGGACAACAGAAGTAAAATTTCGTCAAAATGTTTTGTATATTTTTTATTTTTAAGCTACTTGTGGAATAAGGGGGAAAAGATTTATCTTTATTCTCTATATTGAGTTATCAATATTCACATTTTGTCGCTCTAAAAACTGATAACTGTTTTTACTGAAAAACAGCTGGTACGGTAGCCCATGCAATGTAAAAAAAAAAACAAAAACAGTTGACTTGAAATAGGTGAGTAAACCTGTTGCTTTTAAAATGATTAGCTGACTTTACTTTAAAAAGTGAGCAAACCCGTTGCATTAAAACTAGTAAGTAAATGAACGATGCATAGTTATAAAATTAGCCTACATTAAATTAACGTAACAGTTCCAGGTTACAATGGGTCTACTCACTTTTTAAAGTAAAATCAACTTGTCACTTTTAAGGCAACAGGTTTGCCCTTTGTTTTAACAATCGCTTTTTATAGTGTAAGATCATATCAGTAGATTATAACAAAACATCATGAAATCCCGAATTATATATAGCCTAATTCTTCAATAAATTTTTTTTTAACAAATTAAAATAAATAAATAACTAAAATCTATTTTAGATCTATTTATATCTATTTCAGACTATAGGCTAATTAAATTCTTTACAATTATCTTACATTTTTGTGCAATGCTAGCAAATACAGCATTTTACATGTAGAATATTTTGTTAACGCTTTTTGTGGTGTTATGTTTGTTTGCTTTATTTTTTACGCATATAGGGAAATATTTCTGTCAACAATATAAAGCAAACTTGGGAAATTAATTTGCCAAATACCTGTTGCATTTTAATACTGATTTTTGCGAAATATCTCAACATGAGTTTTCTCCCATGTAACCAGCCTTGCAGTCTTTCTATCAGTGTTTATGAATGACTTAAATCATCTCCGTGAAATCCAGTCTAAAGCCACACCTACTTGGAGGAGACGGTCATCTATTGGCTGAAAGAGACAAGATTAGACACCGTATTTGCCGCACTTGGGTGTATAAATGGCCAAACTTGTCAAACAAAAGCAGACACTTGTTGCTTTTAACCCGAGCAGTCAGAGACAGTGTTGTGCGTTACAGTGAGAGCGTGAGCTCCAGACATTTGCCTTCTTGGCACTGGAGATATGAACACCATCGACGCGCAGATCCATTCTAATAATAACGCTGCTGTCAACCATCTCCAGCAATTGCCAAAAAGCGCGCACGAGACCTCGGATATGGCCGTGTATTGTGACAACTTCAGTGTTTACCACCAACAGAGTCTACCTGCGGCGCAGAGGCCAGCCGGATACGGCCTGGGGGACTACGCGACCCCAAACCCTTACCTGTGGCTCAATGGACCCGGTGTCAACTCCTCTTCGTCCTACATACACGGAAACAACAGCCCATCATTCATCCCGCCGGCGTACGGCTCTCAGAGGCAATACCTGAGCAACTCCTCCGGGTTCGCAGGGCCGGATTTAGGCTGGCTCTCCATCGCGAGTCAAGAGGAACTTTTAAAGCTCGTGCGCCCGCCATACTCCTACTCGGCTCTCATAGCCATGGCGATACAGAACGCGCACGAGAAGAAGTTAACTCTGAGCCAGATTTATCAGTATGTGGCGGATAATTTTCCGTTTTATAAGAAGAGTAAAGCGGGGTGGCAGAACTCCATCAGACACAACCTTTCTCTGAATGACTGCTTTAAAAAAGTGCCGCGTGACGAAGACGATCCAGGTGAGTGATGCTGCTGCGCCTTTGCGTTCGAGACTGATGGTTCCATGAAGAAACTTTACGAATCATAAAAAAATCATTGTCTTGCAAAAAAATAAAAAATAAATAATAATAATAAAATAAAACAAAATAGAAAGAAAGAAAGAAAGAAAGAAAGAAAGAAAGAAAGAAAGAAAGAAAGAAAGAGCTATTAACCTGCCAAAAGCTAATAAAATTGCTAGATTGCATGTTAAGGACAACTCTTAAACTATGTTTTACAAAATCGCAATACAAAACATTTTTGAGAACAAATTGTTTGATAATTGTCTGTTAATTTCTGGATAAAAAGTCATATATTCACATGTTCAGTCATTCTTAATAACAAGCCAAACTGCAAGAAAATATAAATATGAATTCAAATAAAATGTTCATTTGGAATGTTAATAATATATAATATAATAATACACAATATAATAAATAATAATACAAATATTAAAAAGAATGTTAATTTGGAACCTTGATAGATTGTTCGAGGGTGAAAAGATCATGACACAGTAGTGAACTACCAACTATTAGGCTAACTTTTTAAAGTTAAAATTAAATTACAGTATTTAAAAAATGATTGTATACCATTTTGTAAATGTTTTTGCTCTGATTCAATTGTCCATTTTGTTGTAATATGACAAATTTAGGTGATTATGTTTTAATAACCCTAAACTCTTTTGTTATTTACTGTATAATTCAAAGCACGTTTGCAGTAGAACACGTCTTGATATCGTTGTTAAAATGTGCCTATAAATTTTAGGGAAAACTGAACTTGTTTCCAACTTTTTTTGGGAAACAAATAATTAAAATGTACACACAAGTATTTATTAATTGTTGTTGTTGTTGTGCCATTTGACTGTTTTATTCAAATTATAAAATATAAATTAACAGCCCTATAATTAAAATATAATAATAATAATAATAATAATAATAATAATAATAATAATAATAATAATAATAATGATAGTAGTAGTAGTAATAACAAAAAGCAAAAACAAAGCCAACATTAGTAGCTTATTAAGTTTCACAACATTTCATAGCAATTATGCTAGCACATGATTTCTCCTTAGCTTTGGCCATATTTTTTATATTTTTTGTCATTGACCCACATAAGGTACAAAATAATTTTAAAAATGCTTTTAAAACCATTTAAATTCACTGAAAACAACATCAAATGTTACATCTATGCTACGATACTAACTATCCGTTTGATTTGAAGGGAAAGGAAACTACTGGACCCTAGACCCCAACTGTGAAAAGATGTTCGACAATGGAAACTTTCGTAGAAAAAGGAAGCGCAGATCTGACTCCAGCACAGGTGTTTCTAGTAACACAAAACCAGAGGATGATCGACAGCTCGCCGGTATCAAACCCACCGACAGCCCTCACCTCACCGGACCCGCATCTCCTGACGCGGACGCTGCCACTGACAGCCACAAAGGCGCGTCTCCCGCAGGCCTCGCGAGCGCGCCATGCTTCAACAACTTCTTTAATAGTATGTCTGCCTTGGGTTCATCCTCAACTCCAACCAGCAGACATGGCTCTCTAGGACTGGTTAACGAACTTTCCAGCCGAAATATCAGCGCTTTGAGCCCGTATCATGCCAGCACGGGGCCTGAAGCAGGTGGAGCGCCCGAGCTCCAGGACAGCGTGCACGTCAACCGGGGAATGTACTATAACTCTTTTACCGGCGGCCAGAGCACGCAGTTCAACGGACACTTCTATAACAGCTTCAGTGTCAACAGCCTCATCTACCCTCGAGACGGAACGGAGTTATAAATCTGTCATGCTCGTGAATACCCGCCATTACGCGTATAGGTTGATAAAATAATATTTCAACACTGTTTGTGGGTGCAACAGGCAATAAAAACATTAAAGTTCGACATTCACACATTGACTCCTAAAAATAGGGTTCTTTATTGGCATTGATAGTTTCTTGAAGAACTTTTAACACCAGTGGAACGTTTTCATATCATAATTTACAGTGAAGAAAAGTTCGCTACATTATTATAATGTTCGGTAACATTTAAGTTTAGGCCACAATTCATGCTATTAACTGGCTTGTTAACTGCCTATTATTAGACACTACCTGTTCATAAGCAGTTATAAAGTATATGATCTTATTCTGCATCTAGTCCAAAACCTAAACTCAACTTCTACCTTAATTTTAATGAACTGCTGATTAGTTTATTAGGCTATAGTGTTAGTAAATGGTTTTTTAAAACTGTGAAGTGTGACCTAAACTAAAGTGTTACCTAATGTTCTTCACACAATGAAAATGTATTTAAAAAATATTCAACAAAATTGCTCTTTGGTTGTCTAAAAAATGGTTATTCTGTGGTAACACGGTGAACACCCATCTTTGGTTCTACTGGTTACTTATTTTTTTGTAAAGTGTTAAAAATCCACCAAATGAGTGAATTCTGATGTATTAAGTGTCAAAACGCCTTCTGTTCTGTGAAAAATCATTTGTGTCTTTACACAGATGCCCATATTATGTGCCAGTTTGTGAACATGCACTAATTTAAAAAGATTTTTCATTTTAGACTGTTAATAGTAGTTTGCTGGAGGGATTGCCTTGGTATCTGATTGCCAAGATTCAGTATTGTCTAGTTTTAAAATAAGTCCTGTCTCCTTTTTATTTTACTTTCTATTGTATATTTTTTTCTGTAATTCAGTCATTTTGTTATATCCTCTTTTTTTACTATTTATATTAAGTTATGTACCTTGCAGTTTGTCCTCAAAGGAAAGAAATATAGTATGTGATCTGTTCTGAATTAACAAATGTCATCATGTCACTAATTCACTTGTTTTGTTTTTTTACAATGTCACATTGGTGATGATCTTTACACACAGATAAAACCACTACATTTTATTGCTTTCTGCGATTTGTGCTACATTTTGTTAATTTATTTACAACTGTTTTGGCACTGCTTGACAAAGTTAGCAACAATTTATTTCAAGTAATAAAATAATTAATAAAAAATCCTAAAAAACAAACAAAACAAAAAAAAACATTTTGTAATTGTGTTTAGACACACTTGCACTGAATCTAAATATCTTCAGGTTTAGATTTTTTTTTTTTTTTCAGTATGTGTGTGTTGGCAATGAAATGATCACAATACATTTTTACAAAAGCGATTCTATAAACAAGGAAAGGAAAATGCAAGTACCACTTTTATATACTAATGTAATGATTGAAATAAAAGGTCAAAATCAAGGTAGAAAAATGTTCCCCCATTATTTACAGATCCTTTTAAGCAAAAATTAAACATCATATTTATTATGATTTGCCCTTATTATATTAATTCATTCATTCATTTTCCTTCAGCGGTCGCCACAGTGGAATGAACCGCCCCTTATTAAATTATAAAAGAATAAAAATAATGTATTATATTTTAAATGTTTGAAAACCTATTACTAACAATGGGGTAAAACCTACATGTTTGAAGTCGTTAAAATAATTTTGGGTTTGCATAGTGATCCTCAAATAGAGTATTTTAATATGTCATCACATCATTACATACGCCTAACCAACTTGCTACACAGATTGAGATTTTCTTTTGTAAATCATGGAGAAAAGTGTAGCAAAGAAATGTAACGGGACACTTTTAAAATATAAAAAATTCAAAATTGGATTAAAACAACGATTGCCTTGCATTTGAAAATGATTTAGAATTCTGTACTCCAACTATTCCATAAAGAGGAATAGTTTTTACTTTTGACGTAGAACTTTATTGTTAGAAAACAGTGAAGTCTTTCTTGCGAAACAGTGTCTGTGTCTGGCAAAAACAAACTGATTAAAAAAAAATGAATGTTTTATTTTAGCCATCATAACTGTAAAAATACTCCAGACAGAGTTGCTCAATGCAAATCCATGATGAGTGTCTTTGGTTATGTAATAGCAGCAGCATCATACTGAAGATGCTATACAGAGATTAGTTGTATTTTATAATGTTTTTCTACTACAATACAGCACAAGAGCTTGAGCATTTTCTAAAGACAGCAGAAAGATGCGAAGATAACAAAGCTGTAGTTTCTGTACCACAGAAAACAATACCACTATTGTTCTGTGTCCACCAGAATGTTTTTGTGCTAAAAATACCTAATTTGATTACGTACTGTATACACCTCTCCAAGTATAACAGCATTTTTTTGATATCGATATCTTTGATTTGGTAAAGTCTTTAATCTCCAGAGACGTGCTGTTTTGAAGGCATTAAAGAGCAGTGAAGTGAGATGAATTAAAAGGGGCTGCTCGCCTCTCTTTGTCCTCTCTTCATTAGAACTGTCTGAGTAAAAGCGGGACAGACCCAAGTGCTTGTTTAGAGATTAAGGGGAGAAGAAGAAGGGAAAAAAACTCCCATTGAGAAATTCCCTCAGTAAGCAGGGCAGTGCCACCCAGGAGAAGATGGAGAGGTGTGGGTTTGGGTGGAGGCCAGTCAGAATCAGGTTCACAAAAACAAAAATAAAAGAACAAGATATATACAGAAATCATAAATGGTCATATTAAAATGCAATATTTAAAAATAGTCTTATTCTTATAACCCTCATGTAAAACAAGCAACATAAAAATGACAAAATAAGTGATTAATTATTAAATAAACATGTAAATTGTTAATTAACTGAAATATTAACTCCTTTAAAGCTACTTAGTAATCTAAATAATTTATATTAAACATGTATAGCTGAAAAAAATAGAAACAATCTCTGCAATACTAAAAAAGAAAACAGCAATATTATTTCTTCCAGGTCGGATTTTATTATTCAGACTTCCACAATCAATAATGAGTATTGATACTTAAATAGAGATTGTATGGCTGTTCATTTCATTCATGGTACTGCTGTCATTCTACTGTTAATTTGAGAGTCTTATTTTTTTTCTTAATTCAGATGTGTGGACTATAAATTTGTTTACATGGCCATTCCATATCGTTAATATAGTCAAAGCTAAATGTTCAAGATTTCCGTTTCCCCTACAAGTCCAAAGACATGCACTATAGGTGAAATGGGTAAGCTAAATTGTCTGTAGTGTATGTGTGTATGTCCTGGTCCTCCAGGTGTTGAGCGGTGGGCTAATGACCCTCCTCGTAAAAATTATGGAAAAATGGGCTGACGATCAACAGCCAACAATTATGTTAAGAAAAACACCAACATGGTGCGACAAAATATCAACTTCGATATAAACAGCCCTGGGACTAAGCAAGCAAAGGTTCTAGATTATATGTGTAATCAGTTTATACCTAGCTCTGCACTGTATTTTTAAGCTATTATTACATATGAAAAATTAACTAATGAAAAACTGTAACATGGTTGACGTAACTCATACAGATTTCAAAAACAATAATACTAATAATTATTATTAAATAAGCACCAAATTAGCAGAAAGATTTCTCCAATCACCAATAATCCAGCTCCTCCATGATAGGAAAATGGACAGTTTATTAATATAGTTCAACAATTTCAGAACATTACTGTTTTCAGTAAAAGTTTTTTTTTTTTTTTTAATGCAGCATTTTCTTAATTTAAACTGTGACACTGTGATTTTTTTATTTGTATTTTTTTTATTTGTAAAGTCGGGACAGGAGCAATTTAGGGCTAGTTATCACTTGGATAAGAATAAATAATGATGTGATTTAAAACAGGTGATGTGAATACGGGATTGTAATTATGATTTGGTACAAAAGCAGCATCCAAGAAAAGTCTAGTCCTTTAGGAGCAAAAATAAGCCGAAGATCAACAGTTTGCCAACAAATACATGAGAAAATTATTGAAATGTTTAAAAACAATGTTCCTCAAAAAAGATAGAAAGACATTTGGATATTTTACATTTAACAGTGCATAACAGTTTATTTTATTACATTTTTTTATATGAAACTGCTTTGACACAATCTACATTGTAAAAGCACCATACAAATAAAGGTGAATTGAATAACATAATTAAAAGATTCAAGGAATTTAGAGATATTTCAGTGTGTAAAGGACAAGGGCACAAGTCTAAGCTGAACTACAGAGTTTTCTGAGCACTGCATTAAGATCATCATTTATCTATAAGCAATATCACCAATTGCAACATAGGCTCATTCTGATAACGCAGGCCTACAAACTTTTCTGAAGATCGCGAATTATGAAGCTAGAGAAAGGTATGGCTGTATTTTTTCTTTAAAATGAATGATACGAGGCGGTATGCCACCTCTATACTATATGTTGTATATAACAATCTGATTTGTGCTGAATCTCTTTTGTAAGCATTCTGAATCCTTAAAAAGAAAAGAAATATTGCACTTCCTGTTTCTCTATAATTTCTCCCTCTTCTGGTTTTTACTTGTTTTCGTTTCTCTAGCAATGGATAATTATTTCAAATGGGACTTGCCTGACACATCCCTTAGCTCAATGATTCTCAGTCCTAGTCCTTGCGACCCCCGCACTGCTTATTTTGCAAAACCAGAGAAAGGCATGACTACATTTTGTCTTTAAAATTAACGATACAGGGCGGTATGACACTGTTTCTTTTATCTCTACCTCCGTATGGACAGCTTTTCCGCTGTTATCAGTTTTTCCGGTAGCTCGACACACATTGGTGGACTTGAGATGCAATTGGTGTTTTTTAAAACAATATTGGTTGGGTTTAGGGAAGGGGGAGGGTGGGGGATCAGTCGATTTGCCAGTCAATCAGTCAGTCAGTTGCACAAAACATCTGAACCAGACATTTTACTGGTTTACATTTTTTACAAATACAAGAGCACTTTGACATCTGTAATTGTATAGCTGACTGTATCCCGCACTGCTTATTTTGCATGTCTCTCGCATTTAACACCTAATTTAAATACAATCCAGGCTCATTCTAAAAACATAACGATATGAGCGTCAAATACCTCCCAGGAGGTTTTT